TTGATTGCTTTTACAGTGGAGTCCTAGTATATATATTCTATGGTTGATTGTTGTTTCATCTAAACATACATATAAAAATTCAAGAGCATGTGTTCAGTTCAGGAAAACAGCAGCAGCAGACAGCACAAGGCAACAAATGCCAGAAAAATAATGCTGCAGTTTCAACCAGGGCAGGTGCTGCATATGACTTGGTGCCTATACAGTGAGATGCGTGAGTGAGACCACTTTGCAGTGTTTACAGCTAGCCTGCAGCAGCTTGTGTTCTTTTCCTCTCCTTTGGTTCAGATCAGAATCAGAATGAATTCAGATAAACTACTCCTACCACCACACCCCCACGAAACCCCACAGCTAGCGCTGTTGCAGTTGCAAGTCTCGCTCACAGGCAGGCCAGGCAGGGCCATGGATGGATGATGGAATAAAAATGTGGACAGAATGGGACGAGGTGATGGATAGCGAGGCACAAGCACAATGATAAGGTGTGTTCCACACACGATGATGATAAAAGCGTTGGCAGGCTGCTCTTGCGCTAAAGCACGGCTGCAAAGGCAAAAGACCCCCCCCCCCCCTTGAGTGCATAAACAAAATCCCTTGTTGCCTGTAGCTGCCCCCTCCATTCTGTTTAGGGGCAGGAAGGTAATTCGACGGATGCTTATAATTGATTAGTTAATCCACGCGGACACGCTCCTCCAAAATCCTTTCTTTTTCCACACCAACATCAGCACTAGTGCACTTTGAGCATCGATAAACTTCCCACTGACAGCCACCACACGCAAACACACTGTGTGTCTGTGACCACCATGCTCATATGTATGAAAAAGAGTTATGGTGCTCACACACTGCGTTGCTAGCTGATGATATTTATAAGGAAGGATGTGATTTAGTAAATATAGCCAGTGTGTCGTGTGTGGCGAAAAGAGAAATGGCGGCTGCGGCGGCGGGGGCCACAACCACAACACAAGGATGGAGCTTATTACCGGCAAACGGTGGAGGGAGAGGAACCGGTCCATGTAGTTGACGGAGAGGTAGGCTGTCAATGGAACAAATCCATAGTATTCTTGCACCTGATGGCGATGAAGGAGAAGTTAGAGATAGCTAATTACAAGACATATAGATAAGATGAGATGAGATTGCTTGCTGAGCTAATATGTCATCTCTACAAACTAACAAGACTAGCATGGTGACTGGTGAGACATATGGGACAGAGCGAGAAAGCTAGCATGCATGGACCATGGTGCGGCGTCTAATCTAAACGATACATCAAGCATATGCATGTGTGTATGGCCTCGCGACAGATCGCGTCACCTTGAGAATCCATGCAACCGACTCGGCCCTGACGGCGGGGTCGATGGACCTGGACCGGAGCCTGTCGGGGTAGTCCGGCCTCGGCGAGTACTGGGCCTCGCCGCCGATGAGCTCGGCGATGGAGGCCGCCGACTCCTCCTCGACGACCGCGGAGCAGCACCCGTCATCGTCGTCGCCGCCGTCCCCTGCGGCGGCGCACAAGGTGCTGCCGGCGGCGTCGAACACGAAGGCGGCTGCGGTGTCCTCGGCGCAGAGGAGGTAGGCGTCGTCCGGCATGCCGCCAGCCCGGCGCGGCGGTGGGTCCGATCAAGTCACTGGGCGGCCATTGCTGCCTGTCGTGCCCGAGGGGAGCTAGTGGGCGGCGCGCGTGGTGGTGGCGCACAGACTGGCAGGGCAGGCGGCGAGGTGGCCGGTCGTAGTGGAATGGAACAAGTGATGAGGATAGCAGGCAGCGTAGCGTCAGATCAGGGTGAGCGATCGATGTGAGAGCACTTACTACGAGTAGTAGAGGATATATCTATATAAAACTAGCTCGCCTAGCTACTACCACTACACTACTACACTAGCTATCGTATGCGTGCTGTGTATAGATGGAAGTGCTCACCATGTGTATATATGGTGAGGTTTCAGGTTTGTACGAATTTTATCCTTGTGCCGTGCCTGTGTGGTAAAAAGAAAAACAAATCGGCCGCATGATGGACGGATAATATAAGTAGGGAATGATTGGTAAAAGGAACCCGTCTCATCCCCCTCTTTATACATGTGCACCTGCCATCCTCTCTCGAGAATTTGCCGACCAAAGGCCCCACATGCCAGTGACGCACGCGATCAAGGACAGTTCCGAAAGAGAATAATAACAAAGGGGACCCAGCGGTGAATTATATCTTCCTGTCGCCGTTAATCCTTTCTTTCTCAGACGTTGATTTTCGCGAGCGTGACCGCTGCCTAGCTCTTGCGACTTTGATCGATGGTCACATACACGGAACAGCATTCTCAGACGAGCGAAACTGGGCTTCTCTCCTGACTCCCAAGAACGTGACATGTTGTTGGGGCCAGGGGTGTAAGTGATTAGCTAGGGTTGGCATGCCTGGCCATGACCATGATTGGAGAACGGATGGTCAAGATCTACTCGAGCCAGGGGGGAGATCCGATCTGATCCATCGTCTGTTGGGCTTGTCGATACGGCCTTGCCTACTGCTCATGCTATAGGCCCGGGCAGACGAGCAGTACTAGTACCGATCCGTATCCATCCGTCCGTCCGATCGGCCCGGGCTGAGGAACAGAGAAGGATAAGACACAGTCACAGCTCACAACGCAGAGAGGGGAAATGATATGCTTTGCTGGCTCGCCGTGTCGTATACATGACAGCAGCATGGGAAACAAGGCCTCCGATCCATGTACGTACTAACGCCTGCGGCCTGCCTCTGCACAGCAAACAGCACGGGTCCTCGATCAGTTCCTCACTCCGATCCTCACGGATTTCATATGAGCAGCTCAGCTGTAATTCAAGTGTATCTACAGAGCAACTTGACTGACCGATCGGGTAGCTTTGATTGCGTATCAGCGTAGGTATGCGGTATGCCCGTGCAATCATATGACTGATGTGGACCAACGAGTATTCACTCCTTTTTCCTCCAATTCCTTCCTAGAAACATGTCTACTTATTCGCAAATGTTTGTCAGGAGCTCAGGGCCCGAAAAGAAATGCAGGATGAAATGAAAGTGCACCAGGCAGCCCATTTACAGCTACTGTGGATCCACATCCATACGAACGGACGGAGTGGTCACCATATTACGGACACAGAGGTGCCTTTGTTGGGATTCAGGTATGCTTGCGATTTTGCGAATTTATGACTCTGCATGCAATGAGCGAACCAGCCAGTATGTTACATAGGAGCCTGTACAAATATATTCACGTGCCCTACCACAACGTACCAAGAACGATTCAACATCAATCTCGCGTAGCCGGGCATGAATTGCCGCCAACTGTGGCCGTCGATCTCCGAGAACCGATCATCGACGGCACAGATGCGAAGAATTGAGGAGGGAAAAGTGGAGGACCATACCTGCACCTATATCTTACCGTCTCGTCACGTACATGGGCCAGGACCGCGCATTAGAACTGTTCACGGGCCACGGCACGGTACGCCATCCCCAGACACCAGAGCTGCCCAAGACGATAGCTACCCACCATAACTGACTCCCATGGATCGTGAAGCTCCGATCCGGCCAACGCACGGCCGACCCGTCAGGCAGGGCAGAGCAGGAGGCAGCCAGCCATTTTTCAGAGACGCCCCCCCGCTGCTTCCTCTACCTCGCATCATTCAGCTTCCAGGCCCTTTGAATGGCATGGACCCATCCTTTCCGCCTCCGTGACACAACAACATTGAAGCAGACGCCCTTCAAATCTCCAGTTCTCCATCGAGTGAACTGTGAACACGACCCTTTTGCAGTTTGGATGGGCAGGCGTTGACCGGGTCAGCGGCTGTCCGTCCTTGTCCTGCGAGGGGGCAGCGGCCATAGAGAGGAGTTAAGTGAAGGGCCTGTGGAGGACGTCACCGGGGATTCCCGTGCTTACGTCGTAGCAAGGACTGACTTCAATTTTGGGTTGGTGGCAGGCGCCATCTGCAGGCGAAGTGGTCACAGTGGTAATGGCAAAATGGCCTTCTTGCCTGCCTGCCACATTGGTAAATACAGTACAGTGTGTGCAACTAGTTGCTGGAAAAGTTTCAAATCATGCACTTCCGCAAAAAAGGAAAACCACGGCTTCATCAGAACAAGTGGACCAAAATTTTGTTACAAGAGCTTGGAATGACTAGTCTAGAGAGTTCAACCTCAAGTTTACAGTCAAACAGTGAAAGACGAAAGGTACAGGTACACCCAACAAGAACTAGTGCTAGAATTCTCCAGTCCAGGCCTTCCAATCCTTGTCGATGTTCTTTTCAGCCCATGCTATTGCTGCCCGTGCCGCTTGAGGTGCGCCAGGGAGCCCCCTCTCTTTGATCTCACCCTTCATGTCCAGGAATGGGTGAACCAGGAGCGTCCCAGGTCCACAGTAATCATTCTCCAAGAATGTCCCTAAGATCTGGTAGTGAGGGTAGCCATATGTTAGTGCTTTCTACAGTTTTAACTCGTGTACAAGTGCAGTGTTATCAAATGTGGTAAGATGAAGTTGTTCTGTTGCCTAGATAAAAAAAAATTGAGGAACATATGAACACACGAACAGTTCAATGATTTAATCTAAATTAGGTTGCAATAACTGGTAAAAGTGCCTCATTCTTCTCACATTAATATCACAGTTACTACTATACCATTAACCTACAAACAGTTGCCTGAATTTACATGCCTAACACCATAACTTGCATGCTTCACTGTCTATGTTATCTGCAAAAGGCCTTCTACTCTTGCACAGTTTGATGGAAGCTAAGCAAAGACTTTTTGGACTGCACTAAACCGCCAATATCTAACACAGAAGTATAAGGAACATATTATGCATACAATTCTGAACTGTGAACTGTCATGGACAAACAAACATTTTTGCATCCTTCAGAGATCTCCTCTAAGGTCCTTCCATAATTTCCCAAACACATTTGTTCAATTCGATGCTAATTCGTGCAAGCAAAATTTGTGATTCCAATTCCCGACTCAATTCAATTCATATAAAGCAAGAGCTCTCGCCGTTACTAAGAATTAAACCAACTATATGCACATGGAATTCAGGAATTGGATACATGCCTCGGTGCAGATGTCAACGATCTCCTCGACATGGTCCCCGAAGTAGTCCTCTTTCTTCTGCTCCAGCCGCCACGCCATGTGCTCTCTGAACTTGCTCGTCTCCTGAAACACACCCAAAAGAAGGTTAACCATCAGAAAAATAACCGCAGCAGCAGCAGCAGTCTTCGTTCCGACTCAGTAGGAGGAAGGTGAAGGGGGTGAGAGGCTGACCTGCTCGGCGAACTCCGGGATGGGGTCCGGGAATTTGTAGTCCTCGTACCCTGCGTTCTTGGCGCGGCGGCACACGAACTTCCCCGGGCACGGCCGGCGGCTGCGCAGCCGGAGCCCCATCGACGCCGAGCGCTGCGCTGGGGAGACCGACTGCGTGGGCGAGCAGGAGCGGGGAGCCAGGAGTTGAGGCTTCAAGGCAGCGGCCGCGGCGACCCATGCCCTCGTCGCCATCGCCGGTGAGCGCCCGCGCTCGCCTCACTGGGTTCGTCTTTCGCTTTGGCTGTCCCCGAAGCCTGGACACGGTTTGCACTCCTTATCTGTTCGGGACTTCGGGGTGTTCCTTTGCCGAGATGTTTGTTGGGCTGTGCCGTCAGATCCCAAATGGAAGGCTGGGATTGCGGCATTGGGCTACGGTAACCTGTCTGAGATAGCTGGCCACTTGAGCTGTTGAGCATTTGGGCAAACACACTTCAGCCGAGATTGCAAAAGGCGCTCGAGCACAGATCCGCCCAATAACACACATTTTATTTTGTTTAACTTGGTTCAACAAATGCCAAGTCTGTTATTAATGTGCAGCAGAATGCAGTCCCAGGCGGTAAATAAAAGCAGGCAATGCTCATCCATCACGATTCACCATGAAATGCTTGTGCCACATTGTTTGCAACCAGGCCATAAAAACAGAAATGTTATTTGCCAATCAAGGTTAACCTAGTTTATTTTATTTTTACTTGGTACGATTGATCACTAAAAACACGACGTGATAGAATGCCAGTTTATGCTGATGGATCACTTCCCGGAACAACTATGCCCTCACATGATTGTGTTTCCCTTCATTTTGTGCTCGTCGCCAACACAGCAAGCTCGTAGCTGCAAGCTGCAGGATAATGACACAAACATCAGTCAGCATCTGTTAAACACAACAATCAGATGAATACTTCTGATGCAAAAGGCAGCATTGGTGAAATGAAGTAAGCATTCCATTTTTGCCCACTTCAGAAGAATAGTTCACATTCAGCTTTCTGATGGGGAGATGCATTATGACAATTCATTTTTTTTTATTTTTTTTGGCATGTCCGGTAGCAAAATTTCCCATATAAAATGGAGGGAGTATAAAGGATAACGCTGACACCTACTGCTTACAGTCTAGAAGTAACTGCAGGTACTATGACCAATCTATCAACTAATTAGTCTAGGATTAAAAACATAGCAAACCCTTGTGCTGGGCATGCAGAATGCTAAAATGCACAATAGTATCCTGATGTAATGCCCACACATTCTGCCGCTGTGGTAGGCAACTAATAGTAATATGGATACCCAATGAAAATATGCCATGATATATTACAGTTATATCCCAATGTTCGTAAATGCAACTGGGTGATAACTGATAAGCATTGGTCATCCACCAGAAACATTGGCCACTACCAGGTGGTAACTAATCACGCATACCAGAGACCGAGAAATCAAATGCCAACCCACCAAAAACCTTAACATCAGAAACTAGGAAAAGAATCTGTTGGTAGTGGAAATCTCAATATAGGATAAAATATACTGGAGATTCAACTAATCAAGAGAATGGAATTCAGTAAGTTGCGTATCAAATTGTAAAGTAAGAAATATACAACTATCTCCTACCAATATTAATTTCCAGCTAGATTTTTTTTTTTACTTCAAAGGTATAAAATTCACTAGGCACAACTTTAACTACATCCTTGTATCACTGAAATAATAAGAACGCAGCTAACAAAATAGTAGGTATACACCAGTAGGAGAAGCAGTCAGCATGAATTCACATGGCGCATCAATACTTTACAGTACAGTGCCCCAAAGATTTAAACGGCTGAAACCAAAATCAACTACAAAGACATACCAAGTACAACAGCAAAAGTGAGAGCATTCCCAATCTTGGAGACCTGTTTCACACTGTTCTTGTATGATTTGAACCTCTTCAAAGCAACATCCTCCTCTAAAAGCTGCCAAATAGCAATGCAATGTTAAAATACTAAAGATGAGAAATAACATGCTTCAAGATAGTAAAAAACTAAAAAAACACATAAAAAAGAAATTCAGACAAAAAATATGACAATGGAGCAGCGGTATGGTGTATTAATAAACTAAATACTCATTCCAAGGTGTAACATGAAATATCTAGTAGCAGAAACAACAACATTGCACAACCTTGATCTGGACCTCTTGTATCTGAATGGTTGATTCCAATATAATTGCAAAAGCCAAATACATGGAGACAGAACGCGATCAAAAGCCACATAGAAATATGATATTCACAAAAGACCCAGGGTATAAGTACTGAAACCATCCATCAAATGTACTCCCTCCCATCCCAATTCCCAAATTATAAGACGTTTTGGCTTTTCTAGATACATTACTTTAACTATGTATCTAGACATAGTGTATATCTAATAGTGTATATCTAAGTGCATAGCAAAAGTAATGTAAGTAGAAAAGCTAAAATGTCTTATAATTTGGAACACAGGGAGTATATACTGGTTTCACTGTCTTTTAAAAGAGATGCAAATTTCAACATGATAAAGAACACTGTAGCCAGTAAGATATCAACTTCCCAGCATCAGAATTCTGAAATAGACAATATCAGCACTTATGAAGCTACATCCTACAGTGACTGGAAACACCACGCAAGAGATGGAGTATAACACATACGCCTCATATCCATCTGAATGATTCACAGCACACCAAGACACTACCCCCTTTAATCCAGATGATCTGATGCATCTGCTACCGTGTATGGCTTGCCTCAGTCCAGCAAAGGCGACATTTGGACGATCCTCGTATACTAATGGCAGGGATTGCAACCCTAGCAATCATAACCAAAGCAACGTAAAGCACCTCGAGGTCAGTCATCCTGGGCCAGAGCCCAGACGCAACTTCTCTACGCGATGCTCCCGTCCCACAATGACCAGCACCCACCTCGCGCTTACAGGAAAGCTCCGAATCACAGCACCTACGCCCCGCCCGTTCCACCCAGATCGAGCCGACGCAGCTCGCAACACGGCGAGTGCAGATCAGACCTAGAGGCGCGATCTAACTCCACAAACCCACGAGTCACAACCAGAATCCCTTCTCCCACCAGTCCACCACACGACCCCGCGATCGAAGTACTGAATCAAGGAGGAGATGGCGAGCGAGTGGGGGGAAGCGCTTACCGCTTTCTCGCGAGCGCCGAGCTCGACGTGGTAGCCGCGGCTGGGCTGGAGGCGATGGTGCTGCGGCGGCGGCGGCGCGGAGCGGAGGCGGGAGCCGAGAGAGGAGAGGAAGGCGGGCTGGGCCATGGCGGAACGAAAGAGGAGATGGGAAGGCAGGCAAAGGCGGCCGGCGCGGAGCAAGGTTGAGAAGTTGGTGCGAGGAGATCGACGCGACGCGACTAGTCCAGCCGGAAAAAATTGGAAAAATTGACACTCGAAAGATCGACTCTTACGATGACAGATGAGTGGATGTGTCTGTATACTCAGTGTTAAATCTGTAAACGATCGATGTTTCGAGTCTTATTTTTGTAAATGACCCGTCCAGGTCAAGGTCATGTGTTTTCCCGGTTTGGTCCCTGAGCCCCCAGGTAATTTTGCGTTATTCGTTGCCCAATCTGGTGTGCAGTGGTGTCATCTGCCTTCGTATTGGGACAGCAGAGATGCCATGTATTGAAAAAGATTATTGGTGATGTGTTGAAACATCTCCCCTAATATTAAAGAAAATACTATTGGTGACTGTCAGTACCAATTTATTGAGAATAAATTATTAGTGAGTTGCTAGAGATGCTGCTCCGTGTTACTGAGCTGTGCAAAACACCGAACTACCGAAGGGGATCCTTTGGCCTCTTCACTTTGACTATATCCATCCATATCGGGTTTCCAAACCCTTTCCAACGAATGCCCAAAAAGATGCATGCAGATTTAACTGAGTATTGTGGGAGCATCCATTTCCCATGCACAATAACCATCTGGAAGCATACATGATTCATACACCGAAGTTACCAAAGATTGTCATTTTTTTCTTGGCCAAACTCGCCTATGTAGTTTTAGAGGATACGTTATGTAAACCACAATGAAGACATGAAAAAAAAAGAGGCAAGACCTTAAATCGTAACCAGCATGAACAACTTGCCCCGTTCGGCTTATCCCATATCCGATTTGTTCGGCTTCTTTTTTTTAGCCAGAACAGAATTTTTCTCTCACAACATTTTAATCAGAACAGTGGCCGAACGGAACGAAGGATCCAATCCTTCAACACAGCTACTAGAGCGAAGCAACGAGATAAGCAACAGGGACACCAGCAGCCTCGGTACAATAACTGTACAGCCGTACAGGCACAAGATTCACGATTTGATTGCAAATATTAACTGGGATTCATTCAGCAAGCAGAAATGCAGAATGACCCGTAACTCAGCATCGCTATCTTATTACACACTTTCACAAACAAACTCCATACAAAACCAAGCCCCATGCCAATCTGGGCTTACAAACACAAAATTTTTACAACACTTTTTTCTCAATATAAACCATATATAACCGAAGCCGAACGTATAGCACTGCATCGAAAAGAATGAGAAATGCGGCCTTAAAACCAGGAAACTGTCTGCACGACGTCCTCCAGGCAGCAGCAACACCGATCCTGAAATGAGCGTGATGAGGGCCCTCTGTACCAGTCCACTTCAACGTAAATCTGCCACTTGTACCAGATGGTTCTGCAGTCATAGCTTGGCTAATACCGCAAATGGTAAGGCGCTGCAGGCTGTACTGCTGTTGCTGCCAATCTCTGGCATTGTGTAGTTACTATCAGCTGTTGTGTCTTCTGTGGGATGAAATAAAGAGACGATGAATGCTGCTGTCTGTTCAATGGTCAGCATGACACTCCTTTTTCACGTTGGAACCTCTATTTGGAGATGGTGTTTTGCCACAGCCAGCTAATCTCATCACTGTAGGAGAATTCATATATAACTTTTTGTATCAGCATGGGGAGGAATTATCAATAGTGCATAGATAATGAAAACTTCTGTTTACCTCTCTCCCTCTCAAGTTCCTGGTCCAACTCTTCTTTCCACTTCCTCTGCCTTTCGGTGAAGCTGATGCTGTTAACAGAAATACTTCCAATTAGATCATGCACAGGCCTTGGCACAAAATAAACGAGACTACAAGTGCTTCAGTATTGGTCAGGATTTTGTGGAATAAACTTTCAGTTCCAAAACATAGCATGGCATAACAAACAAACCTTGGGCTATCTTGGGCATCAAGATGGATTTTGTCCGCAAACTCATTAAGTTGAGGAGAAGCAATTTCTCTCAAAATTCGGCTGCTCTCCACCACACTGCTTCTTGGAAATTGCTTGCTGCAGCTTTCGGGAGCTGTGTTATTCAAAGTATCGCATGCACCACCGCGTGTTTTACTTGGAGGTGACTTTCCTCGAGGGGGCAATTTTGGACTAATTGGGAGTTTTCCCTTGGAAGTTTGATCAGCTCCCTGACAACTCCCTCCATGCACAGTGTTGTAGAACTCCTCATACAAAGGTGTTTGTAGCTTTTTCAGGTCAAGAGCCTGCAAGAAACACAGCAAACAGCATTTAAGCACTAGCAGTGAACAACTAAATTTGTGCAATCTAATAAATTCTAATTACCTTCTCCTCAAGAAATGCCTTTATTTTTGACTCTGTAAGTACATCATCATCTTCACAACTTCCCTCAACAGGGAACGTAAAATCATTCTCAGTTATGCTGCTTTCAGCATGTTTGGCCAATTCACCAAGTTCCATTGGTTGATGAGAATTTTGATCTGGGCTTATGTCAAACTTGTTTTCCCAGTTATCAAATGGTTCTGACATAGGATTATAGCTCTGGAATTGACAAAGTGGGAAGTCAGCACGAGGATGTAACATAGTTGATTAACAGCAAAATTATGGAAAATTCCCAAAACCAGCCCATTTGTACTTTGAGATACCACCCCATAAGACATTTTGTTGCAAATGGCCACCTCCCTAGTTCACTTGTTGCAAAAACCACCACCCCACTATACATGTGCATAGCGAATTTTGCTTGTTTTTGCCAACGTGGAGCCACCATAATCCATGGTTGTGGAGTTAAGTTTTTCTGGTGCTTTGATTGTGCTTACTCATCATGCACGGTGAAGAAATTTTGCAAACAACAAAAAACCAATGTGACCATGCTTAAGTTTTGCATCTGTGATAGTGGAAGCTCTTAAAAATGTCATGTTTGTACTTTTATAAGAATCTAGCTTTAATAAAGACTACATTAGCGGTTGTACAGTGGGGTGGTTTTTACAACAAAAAAACATGCAGGAAGGCAGTGGAAAAAGCCACCCCATATGCACATCACAACAAATGTGGAAGCAATACTTTGAAAAGCCAATGGCTGAAGAAAAATTCTTACAGATCCAACTGCTGCATAGTCATCCTTGTCAGCAAACTCACACATGTCATCATCATCACAGCTACCCTCCCATAAGGGCTTGATTTTTGATGATTTATTGGAGTTCATAGTGGACCAGTTGGAAGAATGATTCAAACCCCTGGAAGCAGTTAAATAATTCTTAAAGCCATAGATGGAAAAAAAAAATAGATGGTGAAGAATCAAGTGAGCACATGAATTACAGAATTCACTTACAAGCCATTTGGCATATCATCTGCAGGAATCTCGTTAAAAGAGTCCTGTGTCATTGTTTAGATGAAGTTATTAAGTTACAAAAGTGAATGGAAGTCCAGAAAAAGAGCAGGAAGCAACATCAGACATGCTATATCAAACCTTGTTTAGATTGAGTGGCTGCAGGTCATCCAATTCTCCAGTGACAAAAGGATGCTGCAAAAAAATGTTTCAAGAAGTCAAAATTACCAGGCACAATCAGCATAGACTTGCTATGATTCAGAATTGGTGCAAATATACCTTTAATAAGTCTGGTGCAGTAGACCTCAGCTCTGGTTCCCTAAAAGAACAGAGAATCAAGGCACCAGACAAAACATTAGAAAATTGGGTTTTCATTTGCAGGAAGTTTCCAAATACTTTTGGAAGAGATATTAGTTAAGTGAAAGTTATAACAGTAATAGGCATACTTCTGCAGGCACTTCAGCAGAAAATCTTTGGCCTCTGGCGATAGATGTTCAGGTATAGGTGGATGCGACTTTGTGGTTCCAACATGAAATAGAAGAGCAACCTGAAAAGATTTTCTTAGTGCATGAAATAAGAGTTTTCTTGAATTTGCTTAGGGTTTATGTGATAAAATTTACCTCTTGATACTGCTGGCTCCATGGTGGTTTGCCGGTGGCCATTTCAATGACTGTGCACCCTACACTCCATATATCCGCAGAGCTGAGAAAATGGAATAGTAAGGGTGGGTGTGCCAAACAAGATTAATAAAAAGAACATGGTTCTGAAGTAGTTTTCAATTTCAAATTACAGCACATTACTTTCTTCCTTGGTAAAGGTCATACATCTGTAACAATGAATCAAAACAGTAGAGGACTGATAAATCTTAAAGTAATAAATACTGTTGCTGTTTCCTGCCACTTTTCTGTATTTGGACAACAGAAGTCGCATAACTAGTCATTTAGCAAATTTGATTGGAAGTGATATTCAACTTGTACTGGGGACAATCTATGTAGTTCAGGGAGGACATTTAACATATATAATCCTTACGGCAATGTTTTTATTCTGTCCTGGAAAATTATATATTACATATAACTTAAAGCAGTACTAATAGTAGCATGTTTTCAAATCAGCTCCACGATTTTCTTTAAGAAAATGCATTATATTTCCAAGATATAAGTGAGGCCTGGACATTCTTAATTCTAAACAAGATATTATTGCTGATATATCATTATAGCAAAACTAAAAAATATGCCTTATTTAAATCCGAAAAGCGATAACCAAGGTAGTGGAAGAGTTTTTTAGACATACAAGCTATGCCCACTCCCAACAATGACTTCAGGTGCCATCCAATACGGTGTGCCTTTCATTGTTTTGGCTGCTGTCACAGTAGCCTGACAAAGCATGGCATATTGTTGTAAGTGCATTGACATAGGAAATTAGGAATATCTTGAAGAAAGAAAAAACATAGTGGCATCATATCTTCAAATAAAAAAGATGAAGCAGGAAATCATGTTAATACACAAATGATACAAGAAAGTGAGAATGAGTATTGGCAAATGCTGATTGTTGTGACACACTACTACACCAAAGGGCATAATTGTGGCCAGAAGACAAGTAGAATGTTGAAATATGATGATCAGATGGGTATCGTTTGCTATTTTGAAAATAGACCACATCAGCAACAGA